AACTGGCTTAATCCATCAGTAATTTTCCTTTTCTTCACATCTTTTTTTTTTTTTTTTTTTAAAGATGACTCACTGAGAAAAAAAACTAATGTTTTGTACATCTTCACCACTAATGGCGAAGAAAATAAACTCACACTTTTGCACCAGTCGTCCCAGATGTGTGAGCCTCAAGTGGGCAAATTTGCACTCCTAACATGATCTTGGGTAACTGTCAAAACAGAAGGGACAGAAGCGAGCACCGTGGTTTTCACCTTTGCCTGTTAGATCGTGTTAATTTGATGACTGATAGCGAGAGTGGTGCTTAAAAAAAGATGGGGGCACTCTTTTTTGTAGAAAATGTGAGAGAACTCAATTTCTAAAAGAACTAAAAGGATGAGTCGGTGCACTCATGCATGTGCATGAGTGCACCGACTCATCCTTTTAGTTTTTGTTGAGAGGTTTTTTTTTTTTCAGGTTCTTTAACGGCGAATGTATTGAGTGTCAAAGTGTCTAATTTTTAAAAAAATGCCACAAAATCCAGGACTGAGTGAGCAGCGTCACTGCATCTAATCAGGTTAAAGTTTATTCAGACCTTATTTTGATTACAGCTCAAGCAATGATTTCTCTTAACTGTAGATAATGTGAAAGATGTAATGCAAGCGGTGTTAATAGGAAAACTTTATTCATCAACCTTATTAAAACAAACATGTCATAAAAGAGTAACTTTATCATATTCACATCCTGTGAAAGGATAGGTTCACCCACAGTGTATGGTATGTATTTATGGTATGTAGATTTATACTAGCTAGATTTCTAGTTGGAAATGCAAATTATTCATTTATTTATATGTAAAATAGCAACATCTCTTTCCAGATTGTTCCTAGTTGCTTTGTTTTTTTCCCTGACACTACTGTCTAGCAAAATATTAGAACCTATTTAAACTGCCCTCTGTGAGGTTTGGATTATCAGACCAGCACGGGAAGAAATTAGGCTGGTTTACATTAATAAATGCAATTTTTCAATGTTCAGAGCATCACAACCAAGCTTCCATTTTCCTGCATTGATTTTAAGAGAAGGAGATGCGGTAAACCGACCCTTTAAGCATTCATCAGAACCAAACATATTAAACACTCACATAGTTTAATGTACTTATTGTAGATTATACAAATAGACCCCAAAACAAATCTGACGTAAAGGCAATTTTTTTTTTCAAAATTAAATGCACTAAATGCACTAAGGTGTAACAGGCCTCTATTGATCCGATTTCAAGCAGCCACAAAAAATGGTTAAAATCACGAGATTCCACGCAAAACGAGCTCATCAGGGATAGAAGCGTTAATAATTGAAGTGCGGCATGACGTCTGTCATTTGCAGAGACTGCTGGATGAAATCTTTCTTCAAGATTTGCTTCACTTTTGTTTTTCATCTGGAAAAAGAGATGAAAACAGCAAACAACAAAGTGATCATGATGATGATGCCAGTGAAAAATCTCACAAATGAAAAATCATCAAAAACAAAGAAACTAATCCGAAGCGCTCACCATCCATGTCGTATGTCTTCTGCATCAGCCTGGGTGCAACCATCATGCGACGAGGAATTGCAGCTAAAGTTAACAGGAAAAAAAAAACATCTGGTGTCATTCACAACAGCCTCACCAAAACTACACATGTAAGAAAAGATCCGTTAATCCGTGTCCTCTACCTCTCTGGCAGTCGGGACGGCCACGCATGCTGGTTCCCTCGATGGGATGGCCCTCGCTATCCACGCACCAGCAGTAGCCGGTGGCGTGCCAGCACTGCATTGGCTTGTAGCGGCCCTGCTCGTCACACTGGGGCTTGTATGAACCAATCTTGCTGGGTCCGGGTGCTGCCTCCACCTGGCATTTGGTCTTGATGGTAGTGGCTGAGCGGAGAATATTCAGACATTCATTTTGGTTTTATTTACCAGTTAAAAATTACAAAGTCGTTAATAAAGATTGTAAAAAAAAGACATTTTGTTGAGAGGTTAATGGGAATACAGATCTCAGATAGCTTAGCACAGCACACAAACATGAAACACGCATGAACAACATCCAATAATTTTTCAACATTTTGTATTTCTTTTTTTTTTTAAATATAAATCTCTAAAAAAAAAAATGACTTAAATGCCAAACTAGTGCATACTCGTAAAACAGGAAAATCTGTATTTGCTGTTATAGCAACTATTTGGGTAATAAAACACTTAAAAGTGAAGGAAAGAAAAGTTGAGCTAACCTGACTGAGGTGTGGGGGTTGCAGGCTGCTGCTGGGCCATCTTGAAGATAAGCCAGTAGCGCATCCAGGTCTCAAAGCTCTACAATACAGAAAGTGTTAGATAAGCATGGCTAAAAGGGCAGTCGGCATTTTTCATTTCTATTTTAGGTACGTTAGCAATGTGATCACTGCGTGTGACGCTTCACCTTCCACTCGCTATCGTTCATCTGCTGCTTCAGGGTTTGCAGGTTGGCCAGGAAGGTCTCGTTGAACTGAGGCAGCTCGGAGTCCTGTTCAGAGCGCGTTCGAGAGCTTACCGTCAGCAACACATCAACACGCTGGTAAGGAATGTGAGGCTAGACAGTGTTTGCAACCTACCTGCATGAGATCCATCAGCTGTTTCTCCACACTGACAATGGCAGTGTCCTGCAGTTTCTGGAGGAAGGGAGCATTCAAGTTGAAATTAATTATTCAACTTTTAAATCCAAGCCTTAGCAATTAATTTGAAGCCTTAAATGAATCCCAGCTGCACGCAAATATGAACTTTTTCCCAGAAGATGGTGTGCACTTACAGTCAAGGGGGTCTTGGGTGCTGTGGAGTCCTCGGTGAAGTCCATGAGGAGGGGCAGGCTGTTCATGGGCATGGCCATCCTCACTGGAGCCACAGCTGAAAAAAAAAAAATCAAAAGAAGAAAAAAAAAATCAGCGACAACAACAAAAAACTTAAATAAATGCAAGTACAAGAAAAAGTAGCTCTTTTTATGTCTAAATTATTAATGCTCAGCAGAAACAAATTGAAAAGTTGGACTACATAATAAATAGAGAATTAAAAAAGGAATGTGTTTTGTTTCTTTGTTTAACAGTATCTCTCGAGACGCCTCTGTTTGAAATCTTGTCTTAATGCTATAAACATAAAGATATCACACAGTTAACCTTTT